CCCCAACAAATATTAGCCAAATATATTTATATTTATTTTTGCAGATACTGTTTTTGTCGATGAGGGGGTATTTGGATATGTGACATTTAAATATTGAACGATTTATTCAAACTGCTAAAATAAAATTATGTGGTTGGCTCACAATTCAAAACAGATACGTCAGAGAATGGCTTGGTGCCATGGTTACTAGTGATATAGTAGAAGTCTACCCCGAGAGGAATACATATTTCCTTCCACCTCATAGAGTTAAATCTTTGTCAAGAAAGAGAGGGGACGGTTGTGTAGCCATTGCATCGGATGGTGTTCCGTTAATAGCTGGCGTCTTCCAAGATATTTTGGCTTGTATGAAGAAAGATGGCCCTGCAGGTGAGTATGAACTTAATGGACATAGAAATTGCTGTAGAGTCGTCGTGGTAATACAAATCTATTGTTCACACATCATTGATAATGGTCGTGGAAGCTAAGACATATAACCAAATATGCCAACTAATGTATGTATGTATTTGTAATATTGATGAATATTCATGTAAAATAATAAACGTGGTACTGCTTCACGCTGTCATGTAATTAGACTTAAACCAATATAAGTTCATCTATCATCTCTAGGTGTTCCATACTCTAGATATCCAACGCACGCAAAGTTTTCAGATGAGATGGCGTCACTAAAAGTTCAGAAACTTCCCAAGGGTTACTTATTTTCATCAGAAATAATCCAAGCCAAATTAGGTAATTATTGTTATGTTCTTTAAGTTACGAGTTATATTTAAATAAATCCAAACTTCATTTTAAGTTACTTGAGTTGTTTGCGCTGTCAGGTTAGGCTTCTCTGAATGACCTCCTCCTATACTCATAGTTGCAGAAGCTGTTGTTTGTGAAATTGGTTGTGGTAGCGGAATGCATACGTGTACATTAGCACAGTTGTATCCAGCATGTGAATTCTATGGCATTGACATTTCCGAGAAGACCATCGCTGCCGCTCAGACTCGAGCTCTTGAGATGAAACTCTCAAACGTCACTTTCCTCCAATGCGACGCATCCAATATGGCGGATGAATGGAAATCAAAATTCGACATCGTCTTCACCATGGATGTGGTACACGATCTACCTCGACCTGATCTCGTTCATTACGAGATTATACGCATTATGAAAGATGATGGTATATACATTATGGAGGATCCAGATTACCATAGCAACCATGCCGATAATATTGGTATTCCACTTGCTGCTCTGAATTACACTTGGAGTTTGTTTCGTTGCTTGGCAACATCTTTGTATTTTGACAACAGTTTTGGTCTAGGAGTAATGTGGGGAAGGGAACGTGTGCTAGAATTTTTAGAAAAGACAGGATTAGAATGTTTTTCGAGTTATTCTTTAGATAAGACAGAAAATATAATATATCTATCGAGAAAGAAAATGAGCGGTGATTAAATATTAGTTTTGGTGTAATCAATATGTCAGTTTTCAGACTAATTACTGGTCAACTTAACGGTCAAGTGATCTGAACGTTGACAAGTGTGTAAGTTTTAATGTATCGTACTCATCGTTGAATCGGTTTGAATAGTTCCAGTGTACATTCAAAGGCAACTGAAAACGACATTCCAGGTTTCGGATAACGAGTGTAAAGAAATAAAATAGACAAAAAAAAAAAAACGCCGACCGAAAAATGTATATCGTTTAAAAGTATATTGAATGACCAGTGTTATGACGGCTCAGGGGTATGGCTTCTCATATTTTGGCATCCGGAAATTCGGAAGCAGTCGACCGTTTCAGGTTAGGTGGGCGTACAGAGTAATCGTTTATAGCAAAAAAATCAATAACTGCCTATTTCGGTGGAACACAGATCTAAAATGGGAAATGTGTTGGTGGGCATTTCACAGGCACTTTAACAATCATAAATATTATTGCAGATTTCTGTATATTGTGATGAATAGTTCACTGAACAGTGGAACAGATTATAAAGCTTTACACAGTTCTCAACTTGAAATGGGAAGGAAGTCTATTGTCATACATGTCATCTCTGGTTTACTCGTGGTCTAAAACCTTTACTTATTTTACAGTAGTTGACTTGGTGTTGGGCATTATAATACCGTTAACAAACAAACAAACAAACAGGTGCTCAGTGCTCATCAACTGACTTTCCACCAAAGAAACTTTTATACACGTACGGGCAAGGTGATATTTAACAGACGAATTACTCAAAAAACAGAGCAAAATGTGAAATTGTCTCCTTGCCTGTCCTTGTGCATTGGGGTTAAGCTCAAAGCAAATTCTCATTTTAGTAGTGACAGAAAACTAAAATTCAGTCTTCATATACACCCAAACTATAACATGTTGCATTGACAAAATTGTTCAAAATTGTGAATGAAGGTATGTAATTTGTATTATGCGTATTATAAATTGTGGAAGTTTATATTGAATGGTCGATGGATGGCGATTTTAAAGTGGCGTAACCACTGATCATTTTGGAATTTGTGCACGGTTAACTAGAGAATACCCATGATGCTCTGCTTCATTTGATATTTTGCTATTTCGTCTATTATAAACGCTATAATGCAAATAGCATTAGCATTAGAACATATTCACCTTACAATATGATGTTATCGGAACGACTGCCGGAATCCAGTGTTATCAGAAATACAATGCCACAGCTTGTCACATAAGGTTATTCGTGTTCTTATTGAACGAAAACAGATCATTCGAGCCAGCATTATTTACGCGAGTGCAAGCAACAAATTCAAAATCTCAGGTTGAAGTGATCAGCTGGTAACTTTCTCATGTTTTATAATCTCGTTCGAAAATAGCACCGTCAAACGTGTATCGTAGATTTGATTCTAACATATATAATTGATTATAGACTATATGCTTTCAAATACATCTACTCATTTTCAGTTAGTGCCTCAAACAACAGTGGCACTTTCTTTTACATACAGTGCCTGTATTCGTAATTGTAAGTTGACTAGCTGCCCTCGTGTGGCCAATTTGCATTCTGCTTTTGTTTATCCGGAATATAAGCTTAACGGAAAAAACAAATTATTTTAAAGGTTGGTGGTCGTCGCGCCGCATTCTGTTCGATCATGGAGCTATTTTTTAGCTCCATGGTTCGATATAGCAACGTTCACATCGTGTGTAAAATACGTTGTTTGTTTGTTTACATGAAATTCGAACACGCGCTGTGCGACAATCACCACCCTTTAAGTCTCCACGCAGCAAAGTCCTAGTTTATTTTACGAGATGTCAACTGTTTCTTTTACTCCCGAGGGAGGAAATGCCTTTTGACCCATATGTGTTTCTTCTATGTGCTGTTCAGACTTGGCACGAACGCGATTTGACTCTATTATACATGTTCAGCAACCCGGCTGAGGGCGCACCGCCCATTCGCTTTATCAGTAATTGTCTTTGGCCACCCAGTTTCTTTAGATTAGAGGAAAAGTAATTTGTAATTTACATTTGTCAAACGAAGTTGACTTTGTAGTTTGAAGTATCGGGATTGGAGTGTTGATTACCCACAAACACATTTCCAAGTAATTATGATGGAAAGAAGACTGTAGCGGTAACTCTGGCGGTATATTGATATATTTGACCTCAATTTCGACATCATGTGTACGGAGACTAGTATAATTCCTTTGACAAAAATGAATAGTGTTATGTACTAACATAATTACATTGGCTGGTAATAAAATCAGATACATAGCTAGGGTATCCCTGTTGAGTTATCCGATGGGTGCTGAATGCAGTATTTGTACAATGCTTCTTGGAGTGGAAAGATTTAGATACAATAACAATAATATTAAGAATACATTTATTGATTTCTCTCTGAACGTTTGGCGCCGTTGTGCCTGTCTGTCTCCCTATAATTCGGATGTGACCATTGTTCAGCATACAAGATGACACTGCAGCTAAATGTGCGTATCCATGGCGACGGCGTTCAAATATATTCACCAGACTTATCGCGCCAAGTTTATTTAGGGGGCAAATGGATGTTACTTAGCAACAGTGTACGTGTGCTTAACTTTGTCGTAGTTTCTATGTATATTGTAATAGATCAAGTTAAACACAGATTAGTGCTACTCAGGGTATATATTTTGCTATTGCAATTTAATAATATATCAGCTCGCGACGATGCAGTAGTTAAACGAATTCCCGAAAGGTCACGTGACGTGATTCTATAACCCCCTTTATTTAGTGTGTGAGTATGTAAAAGAGGGTATGGTTGCCACAAACACGAGGGGTGCGCTTTTGACGATTCTCTATATTGTCGTTGACGGACACCTTTCTTACGGCACACCTCTAGTGCAATCGTCGACTGATATGTTGTAACTACTCTGAAGGCATTCTGCCAAGGAATCCGCAGGCAAACCTTATCAATCACGCGACTAATTCTTAGGTACGTGACCAAGTAAGAAATTACTGTGTGAAAACTACACCTGTTGCTTCTGGCAAAAAAAAATTGTTTAGACGGGCAAAACAGCAATAAACTTTGCTTAACCAACCATCTACTTTCAATTTTTTTGTAACAATAGAAAATTAATGGAATACTTTTTAAGTGATGCCGCGGTTGATTCACTTGTATCTCTGTGTCAGGGCGAGAATTCATCACTACAAACAAATACATACAGTAATTGTTAGTGAAAGTTTCTTGTGTTAAACAACAATGACGCCACCGTGATAGGCTGTGATATCTCCCTCCACATGTTGGATTATACAAGTACACTTTTGTAAAACTGGCTTCAAATAAATAACCGATACCTGTGTTATGATACCTGTACGTATATGTCATACGTCCTCAAGTTATTAAGTGAAATATACTAAATTGCTTAATGTGTGTTCATATCATATGAATGCAAATGATCTAAGCTTCATTTCTCGTCAATCTAATAATTGGATTAAGTTTATACCATTTTCGTATTTTGAGGGTATATCACGGTGACCATGTCACAATATAAGGTAGGGATCATGAAATTCATTATAAATGCATGATGCTTAGTAATTGTTAATACACGTGTTGCTACGCCAAAACCAATTACATTGTAGATGACAGCTGTTGGTTTAGCCGCCATATTGTGCCCGTGATAAAAGAGTTATTCTCCGATTCGATTTTGGATTCGGTTACTGGTGAATACGATTTAAATTCGAGTTTGTAAATATAACTGTATAATTTAAAGATTTTTTTTAATGTAAATACTTGTAATTAACTGAGTTGGGTGTGTTTTTATAAATAGATTAAATTGGGTTTAGGTTTATTATTACATTCTTGCGATTGATTTTCTAGTGAAATCAGATCTCTCCGATGTGAATCCGTATTGCACTTAAACCAGTCCTATACCTTCTATTGCCCAGGGGAATATTCATGTCTCTTGTCGCATACTTTATAGTGATGAACGTCTAGATAAACTGAGTCCAAATAACTTTATCTTCTTGCCTGTCGAGTTTCAGAGTATGCCAATTTTTACTGTGTATGAGATCGCCATAACGACACCTGCCGTTTTGCAGTGATGTGTCTCACTCTGGAATTAAGTCCTTAGGCGAAATTGGTAGCACCAACAAAGTACGTACCGTGTTTTACTGGACAAATGAATGAGGAGAGTTTAATTTGGCGTCAAGTATCAACAGGTGGCAGATATTATTTTGAGATGGGAGACGTGATCAGACGCCAGTACAAATAACAATTACGGGACATTCAACCTCATCAAAGTAAATCATCTAGTCAAATCAAGCACACAGAATTGCAACTACAATGTAGTCTTTTTTAAAAAGCTAGAGTTTGATTGAAGTAACTGAAGCATGGAAAAATCCATCATTAACCGCCGTGGGGCTGGTCATGGAGGTCACCTCATCAAAATAAACAATGCGTGTCCCACTGAAATCAGTAGCTAAATAGAAATTGGTAGATTTCTGAAACAGATCATGGACTTTGATTTTGAGGAATTTTACATGCATAATAGACGTCTCATTGAGTACATTACAACGTATTCATCGTTCCGAGGAAATCCTAAGACACAATTCACGACTTATAACAAATACATGGTGGGGACAATGTATTGGAAATAAATTAGATTCCGTGGAAATATATCATTGACGTAAAATGTGACGTTTCATGTCGCGGCATGCGTCTCAAATAATAATGGTATTTAGCCAACGTTGATTATGATAGTCAAGGCTGAACTTGAGTCGGTGACGTCAGAACACGATGTTACACACTCAATGACGTTTACAGTATCCTCAGCTACTGTACAATGATGTGCAAGCAACTCAACCAAGAAGGTCGTTTTCACCAGCCCGTGGATCTACCATAACAACGATGTTTTTTGAATGAAAAATGTGCTACCCACAGTGGACGTTTCCAATATATTTATTGAGAGTTTTGGACAATGAAAACACTGTGTCTAGTGTGCCTTCTTTTTGTGTTGGCAATTTGTTAACAAAATATGTTGTTCAAAATGAAATTCTT